ATAGAATTGACCTCTTAATAATTACTAATGCTCATGTCTTTCCTATTGTCTGTGGGAGTGCTTTTTAAGAAGCAAGATCCTTAGCTATCCATCTTTTATCAGCATATAGTTAATATTGTGCTTATCACACAATGGATGCTCATTTAATATTGAATAAATCTATTTTACAGTAAATCATGCCCAGATATATTCTCTCTAGACAGAGACTTGACAACAGATACAATGCATTAATGTCTATTGACACATTTATTTTATATTATATAATTAATTGCTCAGGTAGATTAGTTAAAACCTCTGATGAGTTAAATTAGTTAAAACCTCTAATATCCTTCTGGCTTCTGAAGTCTCAAAGGCCAAGAAATTCCAAAGGTAAAGAAATACCAGGAGTATTGGTACTTTTTAGGAAGAGAGCTTCTACTTTTCTCTGATGTAACAGTCTGAACTATTTATGTACCAGTTCTGAAAAACCAAACCATATGAACTCGTTTAAGAAGTAACAACAATAGTGGCTAACACTAAATAAGCACCACTGTTCTTAGTTCTTTACACATGTTAATTCATTTAATCCTCACAACTCATGTAATCTCATCCTAGGGGGCAGATACTATTAACATTAACTATTAACATTCTCACTTTACAGATGAAGACACAGAGGCAGAGAAAGGTGATATTTTGTCCAAGATTATACAAATAGGAAGTGGTGGGCCCAGGATTAAACCACAAAATGATAAATAGATGATAGATAAATAAATGTACAGGTAGATAATATAGACACCAAAATTGCTGTTTTAGGAGGGATTTCCCAAATTTTTGTGTGATTCAGGGCACAAATAACAGTTTTTAGTGTTAATTATAATAGAAATCAAATGGATCAGAAACGTTCTCACATGTGCAGCCTTGTAAGATTTGCACTGCAGCCTTGATCTTGAGAGCCCCAATTTGGAAACAACCAAAATGTCTTTTAAGAGTGACATGACCAAATAAACTCTGATAGAAGCACTGTTGACCATATTGCAACCATTAAAGAGTGAGGTCACTCAATTTGAAAGATGGCGGAGACATATTAAAAAAAAAATCCATAAAACCAACTCTATTACATTCTGGAAAAGTAAAAACTATGAGGACAATAAAAAGATCAGTCATTGCTAAGGGGAGGGAGGAATGAATAGCCAGAGGGAGGATTTTGAGGGCAGTGAAAGTACTCTGTATGATACCACAATGATGGATACATGTCATTATACATTTGTCCAAACCCACAGAATGTACAACACCAAGAGTGAACCCTAATGTAAACTATGAACTTCAGACAATTATAGATTCATCCTTGTGATTCATCCTTGGTAAGAAAGGCACCATTCTGATGAGTAATGTTGATAATGGGGGAGGCTAAGCATTGTGGGGCAGGGGTATATGGGAAATCTTTGTACCTTCCTCTCAATTTTGTTGTGAACCTAAAATTGCTCTAAAAAAGAGTCCTTAAAAATACATGAGATATATCATTTATGTAATTAAACACACATGATAAAAATATATTCTCCAAAAGAGATGTATATATGGGGGAAAAGATTTGCAAGTATAGGTACCATGTTGATATAAGTGTATCGGAGTAACCTATCTCAAAAGGATTTAGGTGATCAAGAGAGAACTTTAGTATTATTGATGATTTGATTATCTTCAAATAATGAAAATATGTATTAATTATATGATATAAAACATTCTAAAGAAATAATTATAATTAATTGTTCTTTCTGATTTTGATTAACATCTGTTTGTCCAAGTGTCATGAGTTTACGTTATATATATTAGGCAAAAGACACTACCTATCAGAATTGAGGATAAGTAGAGAATGTTTCCATTTTAATGACTTTTTGAAAGACTTGGCCTAAGAAATCACCATGGTTTCAGGTAGGGCCACTAAGGATTGGATTCACTTTCAACAATCCCTAGTATCCAGCACACAATCAGCAATCTTTGCAAGCAGTTCTGCAGCGAACCAGGACTTGCCATTTGTCTTATTAATTCTTCCAAATTCTTAATACTCTCTTCTTTTCAGCACTCATATAGTCCTTAGAAAAGCATCTTGCTCTCAGTAGATTCTTTAAGACCTTATCAATCTAGTATGTAAAGCCTTTTTAAGCTAATGAAAAAATTAGCTATTACCTCCATTTCCTTTCCTCCACACCCAAATTCATATAAACATCCATTATGCTGCCTCCTCGTGAAAGAGGCAATATCTCACACAATATGTTTGCTCAACCTCCTTGCCAAAAATCTCAAGAGGAACAAAGAAGGACAGTTTCTGCTGAAAATCTGGGGGCAGTGTTTCTGTGTATATTCACCTGAAAGAGGAATTTAGTTTTTTCCATTCAGCGGACACATTAATTTATTTAACAAGTTCCTGTTTTGTGCTAAACATTATTCTAGGCTTTTCCATAGGAGTATAGAAGAACAAAGGATCATTGAGAGTTGGAAGGCAAGACTCTTTGAAACAGGAAAGAAATTGGGTAAAGAAAGCAAGAATGACCTGGGTTTTAATTCTCCTGCACTAACTGAGACTTTCAACATTTGACACATGCTTTGCAGAAAAAAAGGCAATCAGGCAAACATCTAATACAACTCTCTTCCCCCCCACAGGCTTCTCTCTTAGCAGTGTAGTCTTCAAACAGTATTTTATTGTAAAGGCTTAGTACTATTACAGCATTTATTATTTATATTTGAATAATTTTAAAATTTCACTGGCATTTCAAGTTTCCTAAGTATCAAATTTTGTGTTTATATTAGCATTCCCTTTCCTTAAGCCCCTGTTAGGCCAAATCCTATGAGACTTTTTCCCTGTCTGCTTGATTACTACCTATTGAAAGGTTATGTCTCATAGACACAAACCAGCTACTTTCTTTCTTATTATCAAAATATGGACATGCTCCAAAGCTATCTACCACATATTTCACAGAAATGGCTGCCAATGACAAACTTTTTAAAAAGAAAATATTGGTCTATATTAGAATAATTTTGTACTCTAAATGGTGTTAGGAAACTGGTGAAAAGTTACATGATTTCTGCTCCATGTGTTTTATTCATCTCTAGTTATAGAAGTACATTTGTTACTTGTGGTCAGAAAGAGAAGATAAATAGAGTTCACCAATAGGGAAAAGGACTTTGATGATTTCAGTCTCTGGAACGCCTCTGCCACAGTCCTTATAAGCTCCAATAATAAGTATGCGACTTACACTTTTCCCTTTGTAATTTCCTCAAAAATTATTCACTATTCTATTCATGGTTTAACAAACCTTTTTCTTAATGCAGTCTGCTACATCAAATTAAAAACATTTCAAGCAATTTCAGAACCATTCTACATGAAAAGAAAAATATACAACTTTGACAGGCTAGTATTTACAAGGAAGAAAAGGTCTTAGAAAGTTATTTTTCTCCATCTTTCATATTAAGCAATTATAATTTTTGCCAAACTAAATATCTTGTGAAGATCTTTATAAAATAGCTTTGTAACAAGGCTCTAATACCATGTTTTACTTTCAAGTGAAAAATATGGTTAAACTTATTTGTTGGGAAAACTATTTTAAAACATTACTCTATATATAGCATGTAATTCAGTATAATGTAATTTCATATAGAAATCTTTCCCATTTCTGTTACTAAATACATCAAATAGACTTCTATCTAACATAATTGTCCTGGTGCCCATATTTTAGGAAGATTCCAAAGAATTCCAGTTTAGTATTTTTGTTGAGAGTTCCAGGTGCAAAAAAAAAAAAAATATATATATATATTTATATATATATATATATAGTTATATAGTTATATATAGTTATATATATATATAACTATTTTTTTGTTTTATTTATAATCATTCTTACCTAACACTCATACACATTTGAGTAATAAAAAAATTGCAGTATGATTTTTCAATTTCAAGTGACTGGGGACAAAAATGAAGATTTCAGGAATAATGGCAAATACTGTCTGAATGTGTCTTTTTGGAAGAGTAAAGCATTCTAATTTTCTTGAATGCCATATGCAGGGATCGTGTCTGTTTTGTTCACCAGCTCATCCATTGGGCCTGGCAAGTACACTGCATATGGTGGACATTAACATAGAACACATATTTTTCAAATGAAGAAACATATTGTACTAAGTTGGGATGTTCTAGGATAAATTTTCCCCTTCAAACAGATTTAGTTTTTAGAGATAAAGAAAATTTCTTGGAATAAAATAGCCATCATTTTCATCTAAGAACAGCTTATGAAAATCTGTTTGCAGCCTGGACTAAACAAGGTACTTATTGGTATAAATAAAAATGATTCAATAACTTCAGATTTTGGCAGTTAGATTCATTCAGATTGTACTTTTATCTCCTTTTCTATCAATTGATAAATTAAATTGCAAGCACATTAGGATCATTGTGCATCTGTAATATTTTGTTACTAGATTTTATACATATGTGTGTACGTACACACACACACACACACACACATAGATTATCTAGATAACAGTCTTCCAAATAATTAATGGAAATGTAAATATTACCTCAATTTTCGTATAATCTCTGCTGCTTTTATTGTCAGAGAAAATGGAAACTGCATGATTCACATGTATCATCTTAAGTACTAAAGAGATCTCTTTATGTTGAATTTACCTGTTGCCCATCGATGTTTGAGAGGCCCCGGGGAAGTCAACTCAGCAAGTTGTGTAGTTGAGTTTTGGCTAGACTTTGTTGACGTAGCCATCTCATAATTTTATTACTGCCAGCTTGATTTTAATTTGAACTGAATCTTTCAACATACAAAGGCAAGTAATGCTTATTTTGAAATGAATTACTGAGTGATTCACTGATGAAACATTCTGAGGATGTTCGAAGCATTGCCGGATGATTTAATAGACCAAACAAAGGTATAGCCAGAGGGTAAATTTATTGTGGCTACTTGATTTGCAACATATGACCCCATAACTCTCTGTGCACAAGGGTTGCTCTGGCTTTATCTTACCTCCAACACTGGACATTCTGGAGGAGTCCTGATGAGAGCTGGATTTATTGCGGTGTTGATTTTTCCGTTTGTTAGCTGCTCTCACGGATCGAAGAAGTACCTCGCTTGCCTTGAAGAAGGCCACCATGAACGGTTGTTTTGACTGAGGCCCATGTCTTCCCACAAGACCGGCGGATTTTACACTGATACTGCGTCCTAGAACAGAAAGCACCAGCGCTTGGTTTACGAGAAAGAAAGTTTACCTGACGTGAATGAATTCTGAGGGTGCTTTGAAAAAGTAACATTACTTTTTAAAACATTATCAGAATGTTTTCCTTGCAGGCCAAAGATTTTTATAAACACTGAAAGCTTGCCGTTACAGACAATTATCCATGCTTGGTTTTACATTTTGCATCATTCTTCACCACAGAACACCCTCCGGCTGCGTTCACTAACTGATCCTTCTCAGACCTGGAAGTCAGCAATATTTTAAATGGAAAGGCTTCACTACCATCAGCCTGGAAATGTCCACATTAAATAACAATTTCAAAATTATTAGCTATGGGCTCTTCTGCATTAAATGCCCTATAATTTTCCTCTAAGTGATAAAAGCTGAATGGCTGCCTGGCTGTTTCCACTTTCTCCAGCTTTTTCAAGACTTGCAAGTGTTAATTAGTGCTGATAGCCTTCCCCCCTTCACCTCTGGCCTGTGCCCAGCAAACTTGACAAAGTTATGCTCTACTTAAAGCTCTTCACAGGTCATTCTAGAAGCCCCTGCTGGAGATGGAGTTTTGCTTTAAAATCCAGTTCCTTCTCAACGCAAAGTATTTTGAAGTAATCATGGCAATTTCAGAGTTCCTCCCTCTCTGAGTTTGGACACAAGTGAATGTTTACTGAAAGGATTTCAAAACTTGTTAACCAACCTGGAAACTCTAAGAAAGAAAAGTTCCAGATGAGTTTGGAGACTCACTTTTGTCTCTAAACCAGTCTGCACCCCAGACCCTTCCGAGCCATTGGGGTGGTTGTATATCAGAGAATGAATGCAACCAGAGCCTGTGCAGGAATGCGTTAGAGGTCAAGGTGTCCTAGAGGCTAGAAATAGATGTTGATAAAGAACCTCTCCCATTGGGTAGTAATAATAATACTTACAATAATGCCAAAGGTATTTGGAGCACTTGCTGAGGATGTGCTAGGTATTTTTCTAAGTGTTTTCCATGTGATATTTAATTTGATTCTACAAATACTCTAGGAGTTAGGTATTACTATTTTCCCCTTTCTACAATTCACTGTTGTTATGCTCTTCTAATTAAAAAAAAATCACTGAAAATTATATAAATATATAAATAAAATAATAGAAAATGAAAATAGAAAATAAAATATATATTATGTTATATATATAATCATTGGCTGATATGTAGTTCCATGAAAATCACCCAAGGAGGATGAACTATTTAACCTTAGGTTGTAAATTTAGTTGAGAATTACTAAAAACTCATACAAAGTTTCTACTCTAGATACAGAAGTTACTAATCTTTTAAGAGTAATATATAATGTGGTTTGAAATATGTGCATGATTGACTCTGCCTTGCCCCCTGAGAGATGTGCATGTTTTCTTAAAATATTTATTCAGTAAAGACTGTGGAGTAACCTCAGTCCATTATAAGACCTGACCCACCTTAGAAGAAAGAAAAGGAAAACAAGTCCTTGAAACAGCATCAATGGCATTTTAGCAAATAAACTCTTGCTCTTAACAAAATTTATTTTGGCAGCATAAACACTTTTGTGTATACTTGTATTGTGCAGAGACCTTCTACCGTCAGAAAATGAGACTGTGTCATGTGAGGCTGTGCAGCTGTTGGGAGTGACACAGAGGTCCTTTAAATGTGGAGGTATTGGTTAAAAAAAGAAAAAAAAAAAAAAAAGACTGTGCACTAATCCAAGCAGCATCCGTGGCCTCATCAATTGTCCTACAACGTATCGGGAAAACTCGTTCCGTTCCCACAATTATTAAAAGGGTATCTGCCTCACAAATGCCACTACCATCCGTCCTCCCGAAGAAAGAACTTACAAATAATCAAGGCAGTAAACCTTAAATAAATAAACATATAGGTTTCTCTTTTAAATGCAAACTTATGATGGCTCTCTGCCAGAGTCTATATTTCTTAGAAAAACTCTATCACTGGCATAAATGAAAGAGGCAGTTTGATTTGTGGTCAGAGCAGTTTCCATTCTACTTCCACTGTAACAAATGTATTAATTCAGCTCAGACTTCCTCCTTCTGGCAGCCCTTTTGCTGTAAAAAGAGAAATTAGAAGTTCCAGCCAAATACCATACCTTGAACTGACCCACTTCAATACATAAACACTTTTACAACATGTTTATTCAGGTGTAGCACTTGAAATTGGTTTAAGATGTTTCCAGTGACAGAGAGCTCAGCAAAAGAAAAAAAAAAAAAAAGAACTGAGAAACTTGACTGTTACGGAAAAGAATAACTGGCGATCTGTTCTTCAAAAAAAAATTTTCTCTCTTAGAGTACAACATAAAATGTATTTGTTGCATGTTTATTTTGATTTTTTAATGAAGTGTTAATTTAACAGGAACTAAATTTTCACTTGTATACATCGATGACTGCAGAAATCATTTTTAATATATGATCTCTCTAATACTAAAATAGGTTGCCACAAGATGTTCACAGATGGAATAGAGGTAAAATTAGTTTTCCATTCATTACAACACACACTGCCCCTTTTATAGTTAAATAAGCACTTAACACAAAGTTCCAAGTTTCCTTGGGTTTGCAAGAGAGTTTCTTTTATTATCATTCTAAAACTTTCAATATTGTCACTTTTATCTGTGGAGAAATAATACTGCTCTAAAGATTTATGTTCTGAAAATTGTAAAGATGTGTGTATGTTACAAATATGGGTTTCTTGGGCTTTACAAAGGTGGATATTGTGTGTGAAGCAAAGTACTCTTCAAACCAATGTGAACTCCCTTTAAAATAACTTTTGATATTATTAAGTTTCCTCTCAGTTTCCTTTTTACTTCAGCAATGAGGTGACTATTAAGATTCCATAAGTTAATGCTTGCTCAGTTACTCTTGGTCTTGAGCTCCACCAAGAGAACATTAACTATGTGACCTGCTCCTTCAGACACAATATACCTGTACTGATTATGTGAACTAAACCTTTTGAATGGCTGAGCAGTTGTTTCTGCTGAAAGTGTTAATAGGAACCCAGACTATATTGCATGTATTGAAAATAGTAAGTCTTTTATAAAATTGTTTCGAATATGTTGCATTTTATTAGTAAATGTACAGTATGCTTTAGATACTGCAAATGTACAAAGTGGCCATACCTAAAACATTTTGATTTAGGAAAATTATAAGTAGATGTGTATCACCGTGGTTTTATTTTTCAAAGGTGATGTTTGATTGTTTGATTTCTAATTAAAACCTATAGACATATAAGGATTAAAGATTGAATATATGGGTATATTATTTCTCAGTTTTATTAACTACAGAGTAAAGATGGGCTTTAGGATGATATCTTCCAAAGAAATGATTATTCTTTTCACACAAAAATCAAGAGGGAAATATCTGAGGCTGGGGTTCTAACCTGCTCAATTTTGTCATTACTGAAGCTGGAGATTGGAGACTTCCAGACCTGCCACGAAGAACTTCATGCCTTTGTCTAAGTACGGGGGGTCAAGATATTGTATTCACATATGCCTAAGGGCACAACTATTTGAAATTTACAGTCATTGAGAAGGTAGAGTGGCAAACAAAAGATCTATCCCAAACCTACTAGTTTTGTATTTCAGACCATTCTTTTTGGAAAATGTGACTTTCAAAATGTTTATTTCTTTAAAAAGAGCGTTATTAAAGGAGGCTCTGACATAAAGCAGCTCTTTAAAGGCATGTTGATATTATAAGGATAAATGGTTCCAAATATGAGCATTTAATTTCCCTGCAGAATACACAGTTTGAAAAACATTCATTTGAGGATTTATCAGTCTAAACGTTGATATCGCTCTAAGATGTTTGCATAAATTCCAGTTTTTTTCTCCTATAAACCCACAGTAATTGACTGCATAACCCAAAACACCTGGGATGGAACTTGTGCCTAAATTACCTTTCCTTCATTTCAAAAAAGACTCTTGCAGCATCCTTTATGGACTGTTGCATAGACGACAAACCAGTGCATTGTTTCTCATCCACATATCCTCCTGATCTGCATTTACTTTCAATCTGTGATTAAATTTGATTCTGGTGCTCTTAAATTATAGTTTCTGTGACTCTAAATTATACTGGAATATTACCCTTTTTAGAAACAGATGATTTAAAATGTGCAGAATTCTCTACCCAGCATACAGACTAAATCATCTTTATATCAGATTTTAAGGAATATAGGGAAGACAGAATTTTGTCTATTTAAATTCCACATACATTTAACTCAAATTAACTTAAATTAAGCATGTTGTAATCTAGCTATAAATTTCAACTCTGTTACAATTTGATAACATTTCCATAGTTTCTAGTTTTATAGTAAAAAACACTGGCCTATTGCCAGATACAAGCACACGGATTTGAAGTATCACAAACAGAATTTTATGTTTGTGCTCAAAACTTTTTTATTTTCAAGATGGTTTACATTGCTTATAATCTCAAACAAAAGCAAGGAAAAGCTGGGATTTTAAACTATTTCAGTGATACTGGAAACTCATAGTTAAGAGGTTGCTGGAAAAGCTTTGAACTTTAGAATGCAAGGTAGTAAGTTCTTTGATTCTTCAAAGTAATTCTGGGGCTCTATTTAATAAGCTGGGCTCTTCATGCAATGCCTTTGCTAGATGTCTCTGTTCTCTTTTTTATGCTGACATTTAAAAGAGTAAATTAAAAATAACCACTTTATTTTATGTTAAATATTATATATTTATAATTATATACTCATTATGAAAAGGTATGAAAAACAAAAGAAAGGACAAATGTAATAATATATGTGAATAGGATAGGACTCTGTGGCTGATAGTAAAAGAGAGAAGACACATCAGAGGTCTGAAATCCATGGAGGGCCATTGGGAACCATATCCTGACACAGTGACATAAAACTAGGAGTTGAGAATTATCTGCAGACAAGAAATGCGGTTACAATTCCTGGAAACACAGCAGTAGAAGAATTCCATTTTCCTCTATGACTGGGGTGTGTGAAGGTTAAAGA